TGAAGGTCTGTTTTACATCTTGATACATCTTGGTGTTCCCTGGATGAACTGCAAATCTAGATCCATGAGAGTCTTGCAAAATCCTTCTTTTCAATTCCGGGACATCGGCCACGCACAATCTTCCTTCAAACTTAAATACTCCATTTTCAAGGGTGTAACCCGACCTCGGCCTGGTGGTAATCTCGTCGGCTACCTTCTTCAGGAATCCATCCTCCATTTGCCTTGCCTTTACTTCCCCAATGGTAGTCGGCTCCACTGAAATCATGGCTAGGCATGCCAAACTTCCCACTGACTTCCTACTCAATGCGTCGGCTACCGAGTTCGCTTTACCCGGATGATACTGAATCTGCATGTCGTAATCTTTCAATAATTCAAGCCATCTTCTTTGCCTCAAATTCAGTTCCTTTTGGGTGAACAAGTACTTCAAACTCTTGTGATCCGTAAAAACTTGGCAAGAGGCTCCATACAAGTAATGGCGCCAAATCTTCAAAGCAAACACCACGGCTGCTAGCTCTAGATCATGGGTTGGATAGTTCTTTTCATGAAGTTTCAACTGTCGGGATGCATATGCTATGACTCTGCCCCCTTGCATTAATACACAACCCAAACCCTTATGTGAAGCATCGCTGAAAATCTGAAATTCCTCATTACTTGACGGGAGTACAAGAACCAGTGCCGTAACTAACCTCGTTTTCAACTCTTGGAAGGCCGATTCTCTATCATCGGTCCATTCATATGCTGTTTCATTCTTAGTTAGTTGTGTCAATGGTACAGCTATCCTTGAGAAGTCCTTCACAAACTTTCTGTAATAACCTGCCAAGCCTAGAAAACTACGAACCTCGGACACGTTGGTCGGCGTCGGCCAATTCACAATGGCTTCAATCTTACTTGGATCAACTGATCTACCCTCTTCATTAATCACATGCCCTAAAAATGAGATGCTGGAAAGTCAAAACTCGCACTTACTCAACTTGGCGTACAACTTTTTGTCTCTCAAGATTTGCAGAGCAAGCCTCAGATGATTCTCGTGCTCAATTGTACTCTTGGAATAGATCAATATGTCGTCAATAAAAACAACTACGAACTCGTCTAAATACGGCTTAAAGACTCTGTTCATCAAGTCCATGAACGCTGCAGGAGCATTGGTCACTCCGAAAGGCATTATCAGAAATTCGTAGTGGCCATACCTTGTCCGAAAAGCAGTCTTCTCAATGTCATCGGCTTTAACCTTCAGCTGGTGGTAGCCCGACCTAAGGTCAATCTTGGAAAAGACTCGTGCCCCTTGTAATTGATCAAGCAAATCGTCAATCCTAGGCAATGGGTACTTGTTCTTGATGGTTACCTTATTAAGTTCTCTGTAATCAATGCAAAGGCGAAGGGTGCCATCCTTCTTCTTAACAAATAAAACGGGAACTAGTGCTCCCCGAGGTGAAGTGCTCGGCCTGATGAAGCCCTTATCTAACAGCTCTTGTAATTGCAGCTTCAACTCTTTAAGCTCGGCTGGGGCCATCCTATAGGGTGTTTTGGAGATAGGTTGCGTTCCCGACACGAGGTTCACAGTAAACTCTATTTCTCTATCGACTAAGTGGCCAGACAGCTCATTTGGAAAAACGTCTGGAAATTCCTTAACAACTGGTATGCCGGCTAATTCAACACTTTCATTCAAATCACTTAGTATACTGCACAAATACCCTTGACACCCCTTTTGGATCAACTTATAGGCTTTCATGGATGAGATTAAGTAGGGTGGGGGTACTACTCCCTTACCCTGGAAAAAGACCTCGGCTTTGTTTGGGGTGTTCAACGTAACGCTCTTAGTAACACAGTTAATGGATGCATGATGCGCTACTAACCAATCCATTCCCAATATGACATCAAAGTGGGTCATACTTAACGGCATCAAATCAGCTAATAATTCTACGTCCTCAATCACCACAACACACGCCTTATATATGGATGCAATAGTTATAGTTCCCCCAGATGGAGTAGATACAGATAGCACATAATCAAGGGGTTCTAACGGTCTGTTCAATTTCTCGGCAAATTTAACAGATACAAAAGAATGTGTAGAGCTCGAATCAATCAAGACGTATGCAACTTGAGAGCAAATTGAGAGTGTACCTGACACTACCGTTTCAGCATTCTGGGTGTCTCCTGGCACTAGAGCAAAAACTCTGCCCTGTCTCATCTGTGTCCTTCCGACGTTGCTTCCCTGTGCAGAGCCCGAGGTGCTCCCATTTTTCTTACCATCACCAGCTCTTGCCTTTGGACAGTCCTTCACGCGGTGGCCTATCTCGCCACATTCAAAGCAGGCTAAAATCATTAACTGACATAGTTGTTAAGAAACTTGTTTTAATTATTTTTATTTCATTAATTATATTTATCTATTGTGCTAGTCATAATTTTTATTAGGGTATTATAAATTTTAATTGTGAAAATCTAATTCACCCCCTCTTAAGCTGCTTTTTTGGTAACATATATAAGGAAAATGAGTGAGAGCACTAATTAGTGCTATCACTAATGATGTGGCAGTGGGTCTCACTAGGAATGATTTGATGTTTTGGCCCTGGTGTTGTATTTTTTTTCTTTTTTTATTGAGTGCCATGTCATTAATGGTCTTTTAGAGTTCCAAAATTAGTGGTCTCTATCATTGTTGCATATATAAATGTCCAATCCGTTGCAGTGACCATCATACCAGGCTTTTCTCCATTTAATCTTCAACACACAATGAGAGTTTGAAGATTCCGTGAAAAAACCGCAACCACTACCTAACCAATGCCTATCCAATAACCTTTCATGATCTTCCTGGAAAACTCACTACAACATAAAAGGTCAAGAGAACTAATATCTAAGCCACTGAGAACAGAATTGTGTTTTCTATAGGTTTCTTGTGAGTGTGTATGAAAATTAAGTAGAGAATGGCAAAGAGTGCAGTCACATTTCTACTCAAAAAGCTGATAGCAGCCTTACACCACGAGGAGGTGAAACTATTGAGAGGTGTTTGGAGAGAAGTTACGTACATAAAGGATGAATTGGAGCGTATGACAGCCTTCCTAAACGTTGCAGATCAGGCATCACACGAAAGTGATGAAGAACTCAAAGTATGGGTTAAGCAAGTAAGAGATGTTGTTTATGACACCAACGATGTCCTAGATGAGTTCAAGCTTCATGTGGAAAATCATCATCATAGGCAGCAGGGGTTTTTTTGTTCTTTTCTGAATTTTTTTCACTCTATCCTGAACTTGAAAGCTCGCCATCGGATTGCTTCAAGAATGAAACACATCAAAACAAGAGTCAGAAATATCTCTGAGGGGCGTCAGAGATACCGCTACAAATGTAACATTGTGGAGGAGGGCTCAACCTCCTCCACCGTTTCAAACAGCACATGGCATGACTGCCGAAGGGATGCACTTCTTGTAGAAGAGGCTGAGCTAGTAGGCACCGACAAGCGCAAGAAGCAGCTGATTGAGCACCTTTTGGAGGACGAGCCTGAACTCAAAATCATCTCGGTGGTTGGAATGGGAGGGATGGGCAAAACTACCCTGGTAAGGAAGATCTATGAAGACTCAAAAGTCGAAAGGCATTTCAAAACCCATGTTTGGATCACAGTTTCTCAGACATTTGTGGTTGAGGAGTTCCTAAAGGACATAATTGTGCAACTCTTTACTGAGATCAGGCAGCATGTCCCTCAAGGAATTAATAACCTGGGCAGCCATGATCTGAAAATGCAAATAAACAAATTTCTGAGTCAAAAGAGGTACGTAATTGTTTTAGATGATATCTGGAGGATAGATGCATGTAAAGCTCTAAAATATGCATTACCTAACTGTCAATGTGGGAGCCGGGTTATGCTCACAACACGAATTGCTGATATAGCTTCCACCACCAGCACCATATTTGATGGTAGTGTCACATATCCTTTAGAACCGTTGTCACGGGAAGAGTCTTGGAACCTATTTTACAGAAAGACATTCAAAGCAGACACTTGTCCTCCACATTTGAATGAAATTTCTCGACGTATCTTAAGAAGATGCGAAGGATTGCCACTTGCAATTGCGGCAATCAGTGGCCTTCTGGCTACAAAAGACAAAGGTAAGATTGATCAATGGAGATAGTTCAGCACAGCCTTGGTGCTCATATAGAAGGTGATGACAAACTTGATAGTATGAAGCGAATACTATCACTCAGTTATGATGAATTGCCAGGCTATTTGAAACCTTGTTTCCTGTACTTCAGCATTTTCCCCAACAATTATTTTATTAAGCGTATGAGACTGATTAGATTGTGGATGGCAAAAGGATTTGTGGAAGTAAGAGAAGGGCAGATGCCAGAAGAAATTGCTGAGAGCTACCTCAATGAGCTTGTCAATAGAAGCTTAGTCCAAATAGCAACAACAACTAGAAATCGAAGGGTTAGCACATGCCGCATCCACGACCTTTTGCGTGAAATTTCTCTTTCCAAGTCAAGAGAACTAAACTTTGTAACAATTGCCAACAGAAACAACACACAGTGGCTTGAAAGAATCCGGCGCTTGTCAATTCATAAAACATGTAGAAATGTGGAAAAGGGCAAGAGGCTCTCCCATCTTCGTTCTCTGTTCACGTTTGGGGTCGCAGACATGCCATCTAAATTACCCATCTCTACATTGCTTACTGGTGTCCCCAGGCTGCTCAAGGTATTAGATTTGCAAGGTGCACCTTTGGAGTCTCTTCCAAATGAAATCTTTGAATTGTACCTTTTAAGGTATTTAAGCTTGAGAAAAACAAGGGTAAAAAAGATTCCAAGCTCTATTGGGAGGCTTGTAAACCTAGAGACACTGGATCTCAAACATGCCAATGTAACTGAATTACCTGTCGAAATACTAAAGCTCCAAAAATTACGCCATCTTTTGGTGTATCGTTACATGAAAAGATCTTCACCCTTTCACTCCACCTACGGTTTCAAGCCACCATTGGGGATGGGAGATTTGCCATCCCTGCAAAAGCTCTGTTTTGTTGAAGCAAATCAAAGTAGTGATATATTAAATGAGGTAGGAAAGCTAACCCAACTGAGGAAGTTAGGCATTACCAAGTTGAGGAGAGAGGATGGGGTGGCATTGTGCTCCTCCATTGAAAACCTTTGCAACCTTCGTTCATTAGATGTAAGTTCAATAGAGGAGGATGAGGTCATTGATGTCCAACACATGTCTTCTCCTCCTCCCTATCTACAACGGCTATGGTTGCAAGGACGTTTGGAGACTCTACCACCTTGGATAACTTCAATGCATAGCCTAGTCAAACTACGCTTAAGGTGGAGTCGGCTAAGGGTTGATCCACTGGAGTCTCTTCAGGCTTTGCCAAATCTAGTGGAACTTCAACTTCGCCAGGCGTATGATGGTGATGTATTACAATTTAAGGCTGGAGGGTTCCAAGGCCTAAAGATATTGCATCTTCATGACTTGAAAGCGCTGAGAAGGGTCTCGGTGGAAGATGGGGCAATGCCTCATCTGGAAGATCTCAAGATTATCTGCTGCGAATCACTAGAAAACGTGCCGGCAGGTATTGAATTCCTCACCAATCTGAAGTCACTTGCTTTTTCTGACATGAAAAATGAATTGATTATGAGACTTCAGGGCAAACAAGGTGATGACTATTTGAAAATCATGAACATCCCAGAAGGTAATTATACCTTTTGGGATTGCAATCGCTGGAATCAAACTTGTCTGTTAAAATAGAGTTCTAGCCATGGTGTCACCACCACCACAATTGTTTTGTGAAATATCAATTATTTCGTTTCCTATAATTTGCCCTAATGTGGAATGGAAGTTCTGTTACGTTGTGCTTGAATTTGTAGATTTTGGGTGAAAGGATTTGTGGATTAATTATTCAGGGAGAATAGCTCAAATTTAGATATAATAGTTGATATATGAATTTGAAGATTAATTTAAGAGCTTTTCATCATGATATACAATACCTTCTCCTCAATCTATCTATTACAATCATCTCTCCTATATTTTAACCTCAAATCCCTTCATTTTGAAATCCATCTATGCATAAGGATTCTAACTGATTATAATAAATAATTAGTTTATCTTTACTGCCAAGCAATTGATTTCGAGTAAAACACTCAACTTTTTCAACCTTCAGTTTTCTTTAATTATTTTCTATTTTGTTAACCTTTTTATTGATTATCTGCTCATTGCTAGCTTTTCAATAACTCTTTCTAAATTCTTGAATGTAAAAGATGACTACACAAACAAACACTACAAAAGCAGCAATTTAAACTATGATGACCAAGTCAGTGTTTGCAAGCCATTTACACGGACAATGCTTTTGCTGGAGCTCCAAATAGGCAGAAACAGCACCCTCTAATCTAAAATTTAGATTAAAAGGGATCTGCCTCCATATAATAATATTACAAAGTAATTCAAACTATTCAAATTACACAAAGATAATGAGATTGTGATTTTCAATTAATCAAATAGAGAGAAGCAACAAATGATTCTTCTTGACAAACAAATAAAAATGTCTTTGTAAAGAATTAAGAATTCCGTGCTTGAAAAGATGTTTGTTTTTCTTTTCTTTTTTCTTTCTTTCTTTTTTTATATAAACTCTATTTATATATAAAATTTATACCAAAAAAAATTAGAAAAATGATGTTATAAAATAAAAGTATCTTCATGGAATCATAGGTGTTTTATTTTAAGATAAAAAGTCCATATTAAATTACATTATTTTATACAAAAATTATGTATGAATTTTTTTTATATTATTATTACAAAAATGATATTGTGATAGTTATTATGTCAAAAAAAGGTTACGTTCATCATATTTTTTCATAATATCTAATGTGTGACATGCCATCTCATCTTGCTATGCTCTATTAAGTGATGGTTTTTATGGTTAACTGCTCAGTCTATAATTCCACAAATCAGAGTGCTTATAAGCCTTTTCTAGTAAGTTTCTCTAATAATTTTAAATCCCTGTAATGTATCTTCCAAAATTCGAAGCCAAGACATTTTTAAGGTACTTATTGGTTTTATGTTTCAATTGGATTTAACTTTTGTGGCTTTGTATATAAGGTAGTAATTTTTTGATTGAGAATTGTGAATTCAATTTTTGGATATGTTATTTTGTGGAAAAATTAATGCTATATTAAATTGAATGGGAAAGTGAATTAATACTATATTTGTTATTTGAATGGGAGTTATTATTTTATATTAGTGTTATTTAGTTTTATTATTGGTGTTCTTTTAGTTCAATCACATAAAATTAGCACAATTTCCAAACCAAAAAAAAAAAGAAAGATAAGACGGCGTTTTTCAAATGCCACTATAACGGTTGGAATTTTTAAAATTAAAAAAAACCTATGAAGGCATTTTAAAAACGTCGCTAAAATCATACTGACGTCACAGTATTGTCAGCGCAGGGCATTTGGCGGCGTTTTTAAAAACGCCGCCTATACTAATACAGCGACGTTTTCCAAACGCCATAAAGTTATAGCGACGGCCGCGTCGTCGGCATTTGGTACTAAACGTCACAAAAAGAATTGGCGACGTTTTTGATACCTATAGCGGCGTTTTTTAAACGCCGCTAAAAGCCTAATTTCCAACAGTGATAACACTCTATTTGTTTGGGCAAAAAACATTTTCTAATGAAAAATATTTTCTACGAAAAACTTTCTTCAAAAATGTTTAAGGTTGAGACCCCTTTTTTCCTTTTCCCTCATCACCCCCAATGTATTGGGATTGGTCAACGTTTTGCTTTTTGTTTTTTGTTTTTTATTTTTTTCCTCCTATCACTCACTAACATGTGTCTGTGGGGGGTTGTGGGAGTCAAGGAAAAAGAGCTCTCTATCATTTCTGAACATTTTTCTACGTTTGGTGGTTGTGGTGAAATGAGGGTGGAAGTAGTGGGCCGGCGGCAATAGTGATAGCGACAGTGATTGTGGAAGTGAGATGGCTATGGTAATGTAGTGATATTGGTAAAATTACACACCGAAAGTTCAGATTCGGGAACACAATTCATAGCTTTAGATCATCATCATCATTAGAGTGTTTCCATTTTTTTTATTTTTTATTTTTTATTATTTTTATGTGTCCTTGATAACTAATTTGTTATATTCGGGAAATTATTCAATGTTTCCGGAATACAACGTGTCTGTATTCCTTAACCAATTATCATTTAATATATCCCCTCATGTTTCTCAATTACCCAACATAGTACACCACCAACCCACCTTCTCCACCAATCACAATGCTATGGAATACCACATGTCTATACTTAGGGATTACTGAATAATTACCTGTTATATTCATATTGCAGATATAAAAAAAAATAATAAAATTAAAGAGTGTTTGGGGTGCACTACAAAAGTATACTCTTTTTTTTTTTGGTCATATCATTTATTTACTTTTTTTGCATATTTTGTTGGAACATTTTCATAATATATTTATATATATTTAAATGCATAATATAATTATATGAATTATTAAAGATATGTGACTTTTTGGTTTAAATCAAAAGGTGTAACCATTGAGTTTAAACAAAAAGGTGTGTATTTTGGATTTAAAGGGTGTCACTTTTGAATTTAAAGGACACATCATTTGGTCTAAGGGACACAAACCCATGCCTATATAAAGGCAGAATAGGTTGGATATTGGATAGAAATCATCTATTTGAAATCCATGGAATTTCTTTCTAACATTCATATTGTTATTTTCCTCTATACTTGGTGGATTAAAAAAATCCAAAAGTATTTGGGATCTGATTTCGTTCGTGCATAACGCAGTCAGACATCAGTCTTTAGACTAGGCTTCATTGTATCCTGGAGGCAAATTTGTAAGTAACCCGGTGCACACCATATTCGACAGAATTGGTGGAGGCGAATATCGTCTTAAAGAAAGTAATGTTGTAACGTGTCTTAAAGCAATACTAATTATTTTTTGTTTTATCTCCTTCCATCACATTTACCAAATTTGCACCAACAATCTTAAGACGATATTCCGAAGAGATGGATAGGATTAATATTTATTTTAAAATATTAGAAACAATTAAAAGATTGACTTTTAATTCCAATTTGATGTTTGACCATCAAATTATGATCAAGGCGATAAAAATAGTTTGCTTCAATTTATTATTGGCAAAGATATGTCTTAATTCTTTGCTTGTGATTTTTATTTGAGGACCATGCTTATAATTTGAACATCAGATAAGTTCATAATTGATATGAAAACTATGTTTACTTCCGTCATTCAAAGTAAATACTTTATTTGTTCAATGTTAGAATATCTATGCTATTGGATTTGATAGTTAACATGTGTGATTATATTTAATTTTTAGTATTGTTGTTTCATGTGGACAAAATGCAAACCAGAATTTATTAGTTTCGGTTGTCATTATTAGTAATAATTATCATGTTTTGTATACTATTACTTTTATGTTTTGTGTTTTTGCAAAGTATTATGGTACAGAAGTTATGCAGGTTTCTTTGCAAAGACAAAGTTAATACCATTGATGGCTATCATTGTGTACATATAGCATAACTTCTGTACCATAATACTTTGAACTAAAGTTAATTTCATTACTTGAACTAAATACTTGCAAGTCTACATTTCTACTTTGTAACAATTGCCAACAGAAACAACACGCAGTGGCTTGAAAGAATCCGGCGCTTGTCAATTCATAAAACATGTAGAAATGTGGAAAAGAGAAAGAGGTTCTCCCATCTTCGTTCTCGGTTCACGTTTGGGGTCGCAGACATGCCATCTAAATTACCCATCTCTACATTGCTTACTGGTGTCCCCAGGCTGATCAAGGTATTAGATTTGCAAGGTGCACCTTTGGAGTCTCTTCCAAATGAAATCTTTGAATTGTACCTTTTAAGGTATTTAAGCTTGAGAAAAACAAGGGTGAAAAAGATTCCAAGCTCTATTGGGAGGCTTGTAAACCTAGAGACACTGGATCTCAAACATGCCAATGTAACTGAATTACCTGTCGAAATACTAAAGCTCCAAAAATTACGCCATCTTTTGGTGTATCGTTACGTGAAAAGATCTTCACCCTTTCACTCCACCTACGGTTGCAAGCCACCATTGGGGATGGGAGATTTGCAATCCCTGCAAAAGCTCTGTTTTGTTGAAGCAAATCAAAGTAGTGACTTATTACGTGAGGTAGGAAAGCTAACCCAACTGAGGAAGTTAGGCATTACCAAGTTGAGGAGAGAAGATGGGGTGGCATTGTTCTCCTCAATTGAAAACCTTCGCAGCCTTCGCTCATTAGATGTAAATTCAATAGAGGAGGATGAGGTCATTGATGTCCACCACATGTCTTCTCCTCCTCCCTATCTACAACGGCTATGGTTGCAAGGACGTTTGGAGACTCTACCACCTTGGATAACTTCAATGCATAGCCTAGTCAAACTACGCTTAAGGTGGAGTCCGCTAAGGGTTGATCCACTGGAGTCTCTTCAGGCTTTGCCGAATCTAGTGGAACTTCAACTTCGCCAGGCTTATGATGGTGATGTATTACAATTTAAGGCCGGAGGGTTCCAAGGTCTAAAGGTATTGCATCTTCATGACTTGAAAGCGCTGAGAAGGGTCTCGGTGGAAGATGGGGCAATGCCTCATCTGGAAGATCTCAGGATTATCTGCTGCAAATCACTAGTAAATGTGCCGGCAGGTATTGAATTCCTCACCAATCTGAAGTCACTTGCTTTTGCTGACATGAAAAATGAATTGATTATGAGACTTCAGGGCAAACAAGGTGATGACTATTTGAAAATCATGAACATCCCAGAAGCTTATTATACCTTTTGGGATTGCGGTCGGTGGAATTGACCTTCTCTATCGAAATAGAGTTCTAGCCATGGTGTCACCACCACCACAATTGTTTGGTGAAATATCAATGATTTCGTTTCCTATAACATGCTCTAATGTGGAATGGAAGTTCTATTACGTTGTGTTTGGATTTGTAGATTTTGGATGAAAGTATTTGTGGATTAATTATTCAAGGAGAATAGCTCAAATTTAGATATAATAGTTGATATATGGATTTCAAGATTAAATTTAAGAGCTTTACATCATGATAGATTATGATGAATGACATCCTTTACACTAAGGTTTAGAATTATACAAAGATCATAGTAAATTACTCATCTTCTTACCATACAATATCTTCTCCTAATCTATCTATTACAATCATCTCTCCTATATTTTAATCTCAAATCCCTTCATTTGAAATCCATCTATGCATAAGGATTCTAACTGATTATAATAAATAATTAGTTCATCTTTCCTGCCAAACAATTGATTTCGAGTAAAACACTCAACTTATTCAACTTTCAGTTTTCTTTAATTATTTTCTCTTTTGTTAACCTTTTTATTGATTATCTGATCATTGTTAGCTTTTCAATAACTCTTTTTAAATTCTTGAATTTAAAAGATGACTACACAAACAAACACTACAAAAGCAGCAATTTACACTATCATGACCAAGTTGGTGTTTGCAAGCCATTTACATGGGCAATGCTTTGCTGGAGCTCCAAACATTCTGAAACTGCACCCTTCAGTCTAAAATTTAGATTAAAGGTGGTCTGCCTCCATATAGTACTAGTACAAAATAATTCAAACTATTCAAATTACACAACAATACTTGGGTACAGTAATACACTATTTCTTCAATAAAGATAAAGATAACGGGATTGCGATTTTCAATCAATCAAATAGAGAGAAGCGACAAATGATTCTTCTTGAGAAACAAATAAAAATGTCTTTGTAAAGAATTAAGAATTCCGTGCTTGAAAAGTTTTTTTTTTTTCTTTTCTTTTTTCTTTCTTTCTTTTTTTATATAAACTCTGTTTATATATACGCTTCATTATTGAGCTGTGCCATTCATTTTGAGTGTTCCAATAAGTTCCTTTGTTTTGGATGAAACTAACAAAATATACCCTTCATTACCCAAAAACGCAATTGTATTAGAATCGGGCAAAACCTCAAAAACTTCCAAGCTCTTCTCTTCCCAGCCAGTCAGTGGACCTATTTTATCTACCATAGCTTTCACTAGATCGAAACTATAGAAAAACTTTCTTCTTCCTGATGCTATTACTTGAGATCCATCAGGTAAGAAACATGCCTTTCAAATGGGACAATCATCTAGGAAAATGCTTTGTATTTTGGTGTTCCTTATGCCATCTATCAGAAAAAATCTGAGTTTTTTTATCTAATCCAGCAGTAAGGAGCAATTGGGCATTTGTGTGGAACTGAACTGAATTTATTGGAGCATTGGAAAGATCATCTGCATTTGCATATACTAATCTCAAGTACTCAAGGAGTCCAGGCAATAGCTTCACCCTGCTCTTCACAACGAGGTCCTCATTTGTTCAAAGAATGTCATCTACACCTTCAACATCTTTACAACCACGCGCAAGAACTACCCCATTTTCTATATCAGAATCTTCATCATCAGAGCTGCAATTCCTTGGCTGTGAATCACGTTGGGCCCACTCTGTTCCCGGGTTCAATTTTACATGATGAGCCCTTAATCTGGACACATACGCAGAACTAGAGATCAAACTCTCGTCCTCTTCCTTCCTCAGCTTCCTCAATCTGTTGACTTTAGCTATATTTATACTGGCCTTTTCTTCTTCATCATCCACCCATACGGGTTTCCTTTGCCCAGCTTCGTCTTCATCATCACTTTCACTACTCTCCCGGAATTCTGCATCATCTTCATAAACAGAAAGTACGCTATTCACAGACTTATCTGTAAAGAACAAAGCAGAACTTTTGTCAGCCCCACCTCTCAGTTCCTCATCATCTTCCTTTCCAAACTCAACTGGGGAGTACAAGGAACCAAACAAAAAGTTCTCTAACTTCTTCATTTTTTTCGCCTCTTCAATTTCCAATTGTTTGTCCTCTTGCTTGCGCTCTTCCTTTTTCTTATTTATTTTGTATGTAATTGACTTGTCCTCTTTTCTATCTACAATCTCTTGGTCAGCTTCCAAGAGTGAAGGCTGGTCAGAAGCCTTCCGTTTAACCTTCTCAAGTTGGTCCACATTTTGAGAAATCAAACTCATCTTTTGTAAAAGGGCTACTTCTGCATAAATCAACCAGTAGATAATAATGCAGTCACTAACAATATCGACAGGACAAGGATTCTCAAGTTTTCAAATAACAAAGAAACTAAAAACATCCACACATTGAAACAGCAGCCTCAACTACGATCATGGGATGCACAAAAGAATACTCGAACAAACCATCAATCTTGGTTTTGGTTCTTCAACCAGCAAACTTAACCACCAACACCACTCAAAAATACCCCCAAAAAATAATAATAATAATAATAATAATAATAATAATAATAATAATAATAATAATAATAATAATAATAATAATAATAATAATAATAATAATAATAATAATAATAATAATAATAATAATAATAATAATAATAATAATAATAATAATAATAATAATAATAATAATAATAATAATAATAATAATAATAATAATAATAATAATAATAATAATAATAATAATAATAATAATAATAATAATAATAATAATAATAATAATAATAATAATAATAATAATAATAATAATAATAATAATAATAATAATAATAATAATAATAATAATAATAATAATAATAATAATAATAATAATAATAATAATAATAATAATAATAATAATAATAATAATAATAATAATAATAATAATAATAATAATAATAATAATAATAATAATAATAATAATAATAATAATAATAATAATAATAATAATAATAATAATAATAATAATAATAATAATAATAATAATAATAATAATAATAATAATAATAATAATAATAATAATAATAATAATAATAATAATAATAATAATAATAATAATAATAATAATAATAATAATAATAATAATAATAATAATAATAATAATAATAATAATAATAATAATAATAATAATAATAATAATAATAATAATAATAATAATAATAATAATAATAATAATAATAATAATAATAATAATAATAATAATAATAATAATAATAATAATAATAATAATAATAATAATAATAATAATAATAATAATAATAATAATAATAATAATAATAATAATAATAATAATAATAATAATAATAATAATAATAATAATAATAATAATAATAATAATAATAATAATAATAATAATAATAATAATAATAATAATAATAATAATAATAATAATAATAATAATAATAATAATAATAATAATAATAATAATAATAATAATAATAATAATAATAATAATAATAATAATAATAATAATAATAATAATAATAATAATAATAATAATAATAATAATAATAATAATAATAATAATAATAATAATAATAATAATAATAATAATAATAATAATAATAATAATAATAATAATAATAATAATAATAATAATAATAATAATAATAATAATAATAATAATAATAATAATAATAATAATAATAATAATAATAATAATAATAATAATAATAATAATAATAATAATAATAATAATAATAATAATAATAATAATAATAATAATAATAATAATAATAATAATAATAATAATAATAATAATAATAATAATAATAATAATAATAATAATAATAATAATAATAATAATAATAATAATAATAATAATAATAATAATAATAATAATAATAATAATAATAATAATAATAATAATAATAATAATAATAATAATAATAATAATAATAATAATAATAATAATAATAATAATAATAATAATAATAATAATAATAATAATAATAATAATAATAATAATAATAATAATAATAATAATAATAATAATAATAATAATAATAATAATAATAATAATAATAATAATAATAATAATAATAATAATAATAATAATAATAATAATAATAATAATAATAATAATAATAATAATAATAATAATAATAATAATAATAATAATAATAATAATAATAATAATAATAATAATAATAATAATAATAATAATAATAATAATAATAATAATAATAATAATAATAATAATAATAATAATAATAATAATAATAATAATAATAATAATAATAATAATAATAATAATAATAATAATAATAATAATAATAATAATAATAATAATAATAATAATAATAATAATAATAATAATAATAATAATAATAATAATAATAATAATAATAATAATAATAATAATAATAATAATAATAATAATAATAATAATAATAATAATAATAATAATAATAATAATAATAATAATAATAATAATAATAATAATAATAATAATAATAATAATAATAATAATAATAATAATAATAATAATAATAATAATAATAATAATAATAATAATAATAATAATAATAATAATAATAATAATAATAATAATAATAATAATAATAATAATAATAATAATAATAATAATAATAATAATAATAATAATAATAATAATAATAATAATAATAATAATAATAATAATAATAATAATAATAATAATAATAATAATCTATAGTCCATTTAGGTCTTTTTTTATCTTTAAAAAATAAAAAATCTAAGAGTATAATCGTAAATTAACATGTCCACAGCAGAAACCGATAATCAGAAGTAAGGGGTGAGTAGTTTCTCAGAATCAGCTTTTTGAGTTAAAATAAGCTGTTAGAATCAGAAGTTGTTTGAAATAAGTTTAACTAAACAGTCTAAAATAACTTTTTCGAAACTAAAAGCCATAAGTTAGCTCTGAAAAGCTGAAACAAACACCCCCTATGTGATTAGCAACTCAAGTGATTTCATATGGCTCTTTCTTTTGATTTATAAGTGCTATCACAAAAATATATAAATTGAACA